ATTAACTTCCAGTAGGATTGAGCAAGCTGCTGAACTGCAAACACATTCTGAGTCAAAAGTCATGCCAAAAGCCTGCTGGACGTGTAAGCCCCAACAGAAATTGATGTGTTGGATTGCCTTTCCAGAGCCCCTCTGGAGTTCAACTACCTTACTAGACACTGCAACTTCCTAAACAGCGCATCTCCCTGTTTCTCTTTAGCAGTAATGATGGAAAAGTTTGTTTTGCCCAGATAGGTTTGGTCACCATTGCTATCCCACATGGAGGAAGCTCCCAGTGACAGACTGCAAAAAGGGGTGCAAATGGATGATGGATGTACCCTTGTGAAGGTGTAGAACAGGGAGTTCCCAGCACAATTTTCCACACAGACAGCTCTAAGCTTTCTGATGCCCGTTTCCCAAACCCCACACTCTGATCCCTTTCTATGTGAGCAAGTCATTCCCCGCAGCCAGTCAAAACCAAGCAGGAGCACCAGCTGGCCAAGTGCAAACAGCTCTGCCGTAATTGTAAAAGGCTTTCAAAGCTCAAAACCTGTGAAAATCTGCAGGCTCACCAGAAAGTGTGCATCCTGAGGGGCAAGCAATGCACAGAGCAACACCTTCTGCCTCTGACATTGCCTCTGCATCAGGACACTGGAAGAACCTGACAAGTGACAGAGGAAGGGGATCCTGACTGACCTTTGGTACAGCCTTTGCTTTCAGGAGACAGAAGCACAAAATTCAAATTAAAACATAGCTTTAAAAGAAAAATAAAAAGTGACAAAGAAATGATGTATGATTCACTCAAGAAACAACACATGATTCATTAAAACCTCAAGCAAAAACAGAAAGCTGATTTTAAAAGAAATCATTCTGACCTAAAATAGCCAGAACATTTGTGTTAAGAGAGTCTGACGGCCTCACCTGCTTCACACTGTGCTGGCTGAATTAGATAACATCAGTTGCTCACAGCGTTGTCCCTGGCTTTAAGGATGTCACATGGAACAGAACAGAGCCTCTCTGGAGGGTATTTCACTGCCTTAAAGGCACTTTCTTTCTTCACATTTCCTTGGCTCATTCCTAGCACAACTTCCAGGAGAAAATGTGCCAGAGACCCTACATGGCCAGACGTCCTCTCCTCAGCTCCTCCAGATTCATTTAACACAACTCTTTTTGCTCACAGCACAAAACAGCAGTATGCACCCATGTACCTTAAAAGCTGAGTAGGGAAATCTTTGCTTTACTGAAGCATGGAAGAATTTCAGCTTTGCTTTCAGGGGGCCCAAAATTTCAGTTTGATTTTTCCTGCACTTCTACAGACCACGGTGATCTAGTAGTTAGCTGGAGATGGTGCTTTAGTTGGTGTAAATGGAAACAATATGGAGAAAAAGAAAAAGCTTTAAATATATCTCAGCTGAAAACTTGTTTTCTGTGGAAACACAATTGGTGGCTTACTGCAGGTCTTCCTTCCCAAATTTTGACTATCAATAAAATGTGTTTATCTGCATGGGTATGGGTCTCTTAGAAGTCTATCTTGGCTCCTTTCCCTTGGCCAAACTTCATGGCTCAAGCTTGCAGAGCCCTCACTCCAGCTGCATGAAATCTTGAAAGGCACTTAATGAATTAGACATTATTAATATTCTCTTCCAACATCAGAAGGCAATACTTAACTCTTTGAAGACTCATCCCAAATGCTGCTTTCTAACTTTCAGTCCTCAGAGGCAGCTATGTAATCTCATTGCGATTTTATAGAGTATCTTTCCAGATTAATTATTTCCCCTATTTGGAAAAAAAGTTCAAAGTCCTGCCTCTGCCTTGCAGTGTACATTAGCAGTGTTAGATGTTCCATAACAATTTCAGAGCACGAAACAAGATATGCTGCAATGCTCTGCAATTACAGATTAAAAGTCACTTCGTCACCATGAGCAGGAGAGAGGACTGCAGGTTGGAAAGCAAGCAGGCATGCTCACTTTATGAGCTCATAAATGCAGCGTGATGGCTGAGCTACCTAATGCACAGAAAAAGAAAACAAAAACCCAGAGTTGATAACAGCACACTGAGCAGATGCCTTAAGTAGGTCATTCAACATGCCAAGCCTCTAAATGCTATTTGGGAGTGAGAAAACATTATTTCCTCACTTCAGTGTGACTTTCTCTTCCCCGTCATGTGGAACTAACCTTTTGTGCTCAGCACTATTATTAATTTATTAGCCTTTTGAACGTTTAAATTGTTTCACAGTCTACAGACTACATCTGAGTGCTTGTTGAGGGACAATACAGCATAAATGCATGTGTGTAGGCACCCACACACATTCATACGTATTTGGAAAAGCAGACCTGATGAAAGAGCAATTCTCTCTATCTATATATTTTTGACAGTGAGAACAAACAGCCATTTCGTTGAGCACAGAACTGCAACGAGTGTATTTTTGTTATGATTAAATGTCAAACGTTACAAGTGATGACTACGTAGAAAATGTGCTAAGTATATTTCTATTGAAATCAATTAAAGGATGCAATGATTTTCTTTCCATTTAGATTACATGACTCCAGCACAAATTGCTGCAGTACAGTGCAGCCCTGGCTGCCTGCTTTCACTTACTGAACAACTGCTTTTTGTCTGCCTGATAAAACTGTTCTGGATGGCGTGGCTTCTCTCAAAGGCTGAACTCACAGTCAGACACTTCATGTCCAATAGGGAATTGGGTACACTTTCAGCAGATACGTTGTTTGAAACAATCCCCTAAATAATTTTACATAACAGGGCCTGGACTGCATCCCCACTGCTGAAAGCAGTATGATCTGTTTTGTACCTAGGAACAATACTCATAATTTTTGCAAAAGCAAGCTTTGGCTCAGCACATCTTAAATACCAGGAGAAAGACTTTTCCTGAAATAGCTCTTGAGTAGGAGACATTATAGGTGGAGTTCATCTCATGTACCCTTGGTATTTAAAAGTTAGCAACTGAGGACTGTCTCAAAAATCAACAGAAAGGGGATGATTTTCTCATCCCAGATAAGGCATTGAAGAGGGACATGCAACTGCACTCTAAAGGAAGCACTCCTCCTCATGAGCTATAAAAGTGACTGGTGAGTAGCTCAGATGTCACTGGCCAACTTTTCAGTGAAATTAATTCATGTACTACACTGATTTGATCTTCCTTTGACTCCAGTGCCAACTCATGCACCCAACTGACGTTGCCTTTCCTTCTGCAAAATCCAACCTTTCTTTACAAGTGCTCTTCAGACACTTCCTGCTTTGAGTCACTGGCTCCATGGCACACTGCACGTACCTAATGCTCCCTGAGTGCTTTTCCTCCAGTGTGACTCCCTGTGCCAGGGCCCTGCAAGGAACCAAACTGCCCAAAAAAGGAATGTGACAGAAGAAAATAAATAGAAAAACAGCCAAGTGATTATTTCCCTTACGTATTCTAGGACTGCAGAATTGAACTCCAGCATGTTGGCCTGACAAGAAAAGATCTGTCCGTGTTTTCCCTGTGCACAACCTTATCCTGGCTGATGGGGAGTCCCAGGAAGCTAGCTGAAGTGACAGGTTTCCCATTTTGAGAAGGAAAGAATAAATTCTGACACAGTGTACTTGGTATTCTCTTGTCCCATGAAATCACCATCACGAAAGTCTGAAAGAAATTGTCATCTGGTACTGGAGCTGGTAGCATGTGTCAAATAGGAAAGGGGGGATGCTGAAGTCATGACCTGGAGAACGTTTTATCAATAAAAAAAGCAAAAAGCTAGAAGCCCCAAAGCAGCTCTCAAGCCGAAAGCTCTTCTTCAGGACCAAAGTGGAGTTAACAAGCTTCAAGTCAGAGGTAAGCTGAGAAACTGGAACCAAACTTCATTATAATTTAGCTCTTCCAGACTCGTGCAGAGATGGAGGGGAGCTATAATCCCCCATTGCATCTACTTTTTGCCATGGGTATTTTGTGCCATAGCTGGTATATTAATGAGCACAGGAACACAGTAAAAATTAAATCTTCTTTGAAATAAGTATTTGTAAAATACTCTAGTGGCCAGGGAGAAACTATATCCAGGAAACTGAAATTCTAGTTCTGTTTAATTCCTGTTCCTGCAGAGGCTGATATTACCTTGTAAAATATGGAGATAGCCTTGATACCTTATCAGGTGAGATGTCCTAGCTGCAGAAAAATGTGTTTCAGCAGCTAGAGGTTCTCAGTTAATGCTCAATAATCTATGAATCATTGTTAGGAAATTCCTCTATGGAAATAAAATTTATATAACCCTCATCAATCTTAAAAAAAAATACACAAAACAACAAAAAAACAAACCAAAACAAAAAATAACATCATAAAGATTAAAATTTGCAGCTGCAATATGAATTAAAGAATCCCTTAACCTGTTCTCAAGATATGTCCTTATGGCTAATTAATTTTTAGATGGAGTGCTCTTTGAAAGAACTAATGGATAGTGAGCATTGCTGATTGATTAAAAAATGAGCAGGAGGATTTAAAAAGTGAGCTGTGAATGTAAAATTGCTACCAAGCTTTATTAACCTTGCCATATTAAAATTCTCAACTGTGCAAGGGAGTGAAGCAAGTATTAAAATAATACTTTTGCTGAGTACATTTTATTTATTTAACATCAATAAATCTCTCCTAGTTGGTGCCATGTAAATCCATCAGACTATTCTCTTCTGATCTAGCAGGTGAGAGACTGAGCCTCACCTCTGAGGAATCTAAAATACGGACTCTCTCACACTATTACATATAACTTTATACATTATGCAACAGAAAGAAAAAAAACAACAGCAAAGCAAAGAAAAAGAAAGTGTAGTTCATATGTCACACTGTCAGGATTGCTTCTCGGAGCTGCAAATCTATGGCTCACTTTTATTGAGCCATCATTAACAAAGAGCTACAACATTTATTGAAAGGCCAGTTAATCTGCAATGACCTGAAAACATCAAGAGTAAACTGGGGGTTACTCAACACTGCAAACAGTGTGCAATCTCCTGCTGAAAGAAAGGGAAAACAAGATCAGCTGCCTTACCCGTTTCCTCAAATTACAGGTGAGTGTGAGGTTCCTTGAGAAGGAGTTTGCAAAAGCAGTATAAAAGTCCAACACTTTAAGCAAGGCTTCTCGCTTAATAATATGTAAATCGCAGTATGTCAGAGCGCGTACGTTGGCACATGCGTGGGCCAGACTGGTTTCCTTCCAGAAGATATCACCAAACACATCACCTTTACCTGAAAAACAGGACAAAATTTGTTAAAAGTCAACGCTTACGTGGTGCTCCCCAGCATGCAAACGATTTCTTTCCAAACTTTCTTATGCTTTGGAATAAGCTAACATCAGCTCCCAGCTGTGAAAACTAATAAGGGTAGAAGATTTAAAAATATCTGAGGTATTTGAGCATCCTTAGCAACAGCCCCAGGTTTTTAAGATATTTATAGATAGCTCTGCAAAGTGTCACAGAGCATAAAAGCCAGACTGTGTGGCTGAAGATGCAGGTAATGGATTTCCCAAAAGCCCCTGAACATAATAAGTAGTTATCTAATGGTGAAGTGACTGAATATTTCTGAGGATCACTCCTAAGTGACAGAGGAACCCTGCTTTCACTGATAGCCTATGTCATTCAGGATTCTTTATCACCATGGCTCTACAATGCTGTTTGAGAGCCAGCTTCTTAAACGCTCATTAAACATTTTTACTTCAGTGAGAAAGGTAACATTCCTTCTAAAAACCCACTAAAACCATCCCTGAGACTTCTAACCTCTAAATACCCGGCTCCAAATCTTAAGCAGATCCAACAGCCGGCTTCCAAATCCAAACATATCCACTTACACACAGGGTTCTGCTGAAGTCTGTATTTAAATATTTGCTGACTAAGAAAGGGTCTGACCCCTTAGACACATGCATATTTAAATAACCACAGCCAGATGTGAACCACCGCACGCATCAGTACAGGTTAGGGGCTGACCTGCTGGAAGGGAGCCCTGCAGAGAAGGAGCTGGGTGTTCTGGCTGGCCAGGAGCCAGCAGTGTGCCCTCATGCCAGGAAGGCCAAGGGTGTTTCTGGGGTGAAAGAAAAGGAGGTGGTCCTCCCCCTATTTGCTCTGCCCTGGTGGGGCCACACTGGGTGCACTGTGTCCAGTTCTGGACTCCCCAGTTCAAGAAAGACAGGGAACTGCTGGGAAGAGTGCCATGGAGGACTGCAAAGAGAAGTGTGGTTGGTGGCTGGCAGCTCAGATTCTGAAGCAGAAACTGTGGTACTAAGGGCACTTATGAAGGAAGGTTGCTTCGGTTGCCAGTGGTATCCCAGCTCTTTATTTTTGTAGTTATTAAGAGGAAACTAGAAATCAACCAGTCAGTGGTAGTATCTCTATTGATTTCAGGTACCTCAAACAGCCCCTTGGTGAAGGTTTGTGATTTTTATAGTTTGAGGAAAGAAAAGGTAATACATTTTAATGCTTCTTACCCTAAGGACTTGCAACATTTCACTCAGCTCTATTTCAGGAACACAGAACAATAATTTATCCAACCTTACTGCTCTTTGGGGTCAGAGACTATTCCTCTATTTGTATTTCTGCTTCAGGTATCATATCCAGTAACTAGACTAACATTTCTCATGCAGCCTGTGCAGCAGAATCATCTCTCAGAAACGTTGCAGCATTTTCATTGAACTGCTTTAAAATAATTCTGCATTTTGAGATGCTGTTAAAATGAACTGCAATACATAATATTCCTGATGCAGTTGATAAAACAAGTTGCCTTAAAATGCTCTCCTTATCACAGAGCATTTCCTACAAATATATAATTTATCTAACGTTATGTTTCAAATTACCCTTTGCAGTTAATTGCCCTTCTCTCTACGCACAGTTTAAAACCTGTTTTGCAGACATACTCAGCACAATTACATAATTTATAGAAAACAGACCATTTTGGAAGTGCACAAAATTGCTTAATGGATTTGCTCTCTGAGGTGGTCACAGGACAGAACTGAGCCTTGGTTGCAGCAACTGCAGACTGCAGTTAAACAGAATTCAGTAATACGATTTTCCTGCTGAAATGTTAGCAAAATGCTTCTTTTTTTCTTTCTTCTTCTTCTTCTTCTTCTTCTTCTTCTTCTTCTACTTAAGGTAATATATAAATAATTCAAGCTGAAAGCAGTGGATGCTGACTCAGAAACTGTGCAACAGAACATTCCCAAGTCACAGACAGATAAAATCACCATTCATAAAACTGAGATCTCCTCATCTTCTGCAGTTCAGTGAGGCAGGAACGATACTGCGTTCCTCTGAATGAGGCTGAGAAGATAAACTGCATCTCTGCACTCCTTCATGGGTCAGCAGTCAGTGCACTTAAATGGGGAAGTGAAGTGACAACTTAAAAAGGTAAAGATGGTATTTGTCTTCTGCCAGCGCTCGCTGTTTCGCCGGAGGTGACTATAAGAAACCCAAATGCTTCCTTTAAGAAAGTGTACTTCAGAAAGTACAGAATCTTGGAAGCAATTATGACTTTTTGAATTTGTTTTTTTCCCCACACCCTTCCAAGTCTCATTTGCTCTTTGTGAACATGTAAAGAACAGCACTGCATGAAAACACCCAAGCAGATTCTCCAAAACAATGCACGCTTCCTCATAGATACAGAGATTAATGCACTGTACTTCATCCCTGTAACTGCAGTTCACTGAGTGGAGAGCAGTAATTATTCACTCAAGTTTTATTTTTCACAGTGTAACTAACGGGATTTTTCCTCTTTCTTAGAATTGTAATTAAAAATATACCTGGTAGGTTTTAAACCACAGCTACTCACCTCCACTGCTGCAGGTTGCTACAAGCACAGCATGTCTTGTTCATCACTGGTCAAAATGCATAGCTAATGGTGGTAACTGTGTTGAAAAATAATTTATTGCTGCTGAGAATTTGCTCTATCAAATAGCTCTTGATTCACTGTGCTTTGTCAATATCTTCTAGTTTCCATGGAAATAAATAGAAGGCATTACTTATGGAGCAACCTATGTATATGTCCATACATTAAATATACACATGAATCCCTACATATATAGAGAGAATTAAACAATATGTAACTATATAATTGATAATTATATTTCTATATGTTATCATTTTATATTATGGATAACTCTGCCACACAGAAGCGGGGGACTGATGTTCTCCACCACCTTGCTCCACGGACTGAGTTTCCAGCTTGTGAGACTGTAGCTCATGCCTAGACATCTCAGGTAAGACTATATGAAACTCCCCAGAAGCTGGAAATGAAAAAGTCCTTGAAATCAGAGACAGGAAAGACTCTCTCTAACTCTCAGAACTCCTGTGCACCTATGAAATGGCAAAATTTATTTTCTTCAGACAGAAATCAAGCTAAAAAATATATCAGTAGAAATGATAACTTGATAGAGCTTTTGGGAGAAAGCCTGGATGGACAGTGAGAATAAATTCCTGATGGAAAACTGCACTGAGAGGAAAAACAAATAAAAGGGGCAAAGGTTTCTCCTTAAGGCGATAGCTCTTGTGGACAGGAGCAAATTTGGAAAATATATGCGGTGCACTCCTAGCCAATAGAGGCCAGTCATATTATTCCCTCTTTTAAAACATTTCCCAAGACCCACCAGTCACACTAGCGAAAGCCAGACATGATGAATAATGTAGGCTTTCCATCAGGATACGCTTAAATCTTCTGTTACTTACGAACAGCAGAGGCAATACAGACCAATTTTGTTGCAGAATCAGTAAAACCGCATTATACATAGAAAACATTCAGCTAATTTGCTCAGGTACCAATAGCCACGGAATGATGGCAGGTGCACAGAAATGGAGGTCAGGAAACAAATATCAAGTCCCTGCAGCCATAATTGCAATGCTACTGGTACATATATTCATGCACATACAGCTGTCTGTGACTATACATCTGCAGTGAAACCTCTGACTGCCAGACAGACATATCTCAAGCTGATGAAAACAGCTGATGATGAAGGAAAGAATTTGCAGTTACTTGCAGCAGCCCACAGCTCTGCAATCATTGGGTGAGCAGGTAAGCAGCTCCTTGCCATGAGACATTGGTAGATCCAACTATGAGGAAACAGGATAAGGACTGGTGCAAGCTCACCAGCTGTCTCCTGCCAGCTAGGATGTCATTACTTCTTGTGAGCACAGTCCATAATATGCAGGGGTGACTATCAGACTGTGAGACAGGGCTCTGTGCCTTTGTGGAGGTTCTGGCCAAAATTTCAGCCTTTCCTAGGGTACCCTGAGGAGCCAGGGTTTATTGAAAACCAGTTCACACCAGTCAGACATCCAACTTGATGGGACCCCATATATTAACATGTGAAAGGGCAGAATGAATGGGGAAAAGAGCACTTTTCAAAAGATTGTCAGAATAGTCAGCAAAGAAACATTATTAACTGTGCCCAACGTTCAGGTCCATGCTGGCAAAGGCACTTTACATTATTAAACACAGTGCAAGCTTCCCCATCTGCATCTAAATACACAAAATTAATGTACCATTTGACCAGCAGTCAGAAACTGCTAGAAAAGGGAAAGGTTCATATTCTCCTGTTAGTGATGGGTTAATGGTCCCCATCTCTCATACTTTCAGCACAAATCTCCTCTTCGTTTTTTTTTAAGAAGCCCCAGCTCTTCATGATGGGAAATCTCAGTTTTGATTTGATACTTAAACAAATATCCATCCTTCCTGACTGAAGAAATGAACTTGAAAGCATGACCATACCCACCATCTTCAATGCTCATAAGGCAAATCACATTGCCTCGGACTGTTAATCTGATTTAAAAGAAATATATCATATGATTGCAAAATAATTTTTTCTCTTGCACAACCAAGACTTTTGAGCTCCTGGGTTTGGCAGTGAAGTATGCAGGTCTAATTCAAAAACATCTCAATTCAGTGGAAGGAATCTTTCTGACACTGGAGGCTGCAGATTGCATCTAAAGCACACCAGCTGACACTGAATTAAGATTGATGCCTTGTATTACAGTTAGCTATGGTGCAGACAGAGACAGAAATATTTTAAACTTACGAAATGATGTGAAAAATTGAACACTCCCTTTAACTCTGTCAGTAAGAGCTAATAACACCTTTGAACAAGTAATAGTAGGAATAAATCTTACATAGTACTATGCATGTTAACCCAGACCTGTAAAATAGGACTCATTTCAGGAAGGATGTTGAAGAAGAGCTGCACAGTGCAAAGCTGCACATCACACTGCGACTCAGATCAATACTCCTTTGAGCACAGTACAAAATATTTTCAGATTCAGCACTTGAAAAACAGCCTACATCACCTTAATTATTGCAGTCCTGCTGGCTGAAAAGCTTTCCTTTCTGAATCATTTGCCTATTAGTTAATTTAGAGCGTTAACTCACTGCAACAAAATGGAGTTATCCTACAGATGCAATAGGACATAGGTAATAATGTGCACCTGGTAGCAATCTACAAAACAGCAGTTCTGTAGATTGCTACCAGGTGCACATTATGAAGCTGGGGAAAGTCTCAAAACCAGCTTGACTTATTTTACTTCACTTAAAAAAAACCCAAAAATTACATAACGTTAAGCTGATTTTAGGTAAGGACAAATATTCTACCTTCCTTCCAAATGAGAGGTGACTCAGGCTGCAACTATAGTAATTAAAATCACAGAATCAGGTACTAACACTAGGAGATGGGATTGGACTGACAGTTTTTCACACCATACAATACATCATACATGGTCAGTCTTGTCCTGCATGAAGCACACGTCCAGCTGAGTAACACCATGGAAATTCAAAGTGTTGATGCATGGATCCCAAATTCTGAATTACGAATGTGTACGGAATAGAGCGATGGAGCCTGGCTTGTCTAAGAAGAATAAATCCAGTAAACAACATTGTTGCACTGGGACTGTATGCAGAATATGCTGAGAATTAACATGCAGCACATGAAGATAAAGAACAACTCAACTGAATGCATACAGGATCAGGATCCTAAGTGTGGCTGAAATACAAGCTATTAAATTTATATTCATCCTGGCTTGGCTATCAAAATTGAATCTGTTCAGCAGCTGCCCCCAGCCAGGATTTCAGTGCTCAATATATTTCTATCACTACGCAGTTTGAGCAATAGTTTTAATCAGTTCCTACAATCAACGCTTGAACATGGTGAGTCATTATTTTTTCGTTGGCAAAAGGACTCCTCTAAGCCTTGCTGATCAGTCTGCCCGCTTGAAGTTACTGCACAATTCACACACACTCAGCCATGCTAATAGTGGGAGCTGCAAAGCAGCTTGCAGGCACTGGGCTGGCACTGCCCCACACACAAAACTCCTCACCACGAGCAAATTCAGGTTAATTGTGGCAGGGTGAGTTGCTCAGTGCCCTGTGCCAGCAGATGCCTTGTTCCATTAGAGGACTTCAGACCCCTGGTCTTTCCTGAGATACTTCTGCTGGGAACATCTCCCGATGCAGAGCAGTGGCAGATTGGCTGTTCACTCCTGCTAGAGGTGGTGGACAATTACAGATGTGCCTTCTTGGGGTCACCTCTCTCACTAGGAAAGTTTGGTTAATTGGAGACAAGACTGTTTGCACTTCTCCATTATCCTGGCAAATGCATATGAGGTATGTGAAAATGACTGAATCTGGTTTTCCCCAGCAGAGCAGCTCCCCTTAACTCCAGCTCTGAGCATAGTGCTCATTCTGCCAGAGCACTGGTCAGTGCTTATGAAAGGCAGGAGGCTGTCCCCAGGAAATGAAGACACCTAATGAGGGGAACACCTAATGAGGAGACACCTAATTGGACACCTGGGTATCTTCATTAATGAGTCCTATAAACTGCAGATCTCTGGGCTCAATTGGGTTCGTTTTCTTACTCTACCAACTTCTGTAATGGTGATCACTGCAGTAGCTGGGCATTTAATTACACACAAATGAGGCCAAAACAGAATCAGGGAAGAATGAAAATACAATGATATAAAGTTGACTGGTCAGTCACTGTGTTTCACCAGTTTTCAAGCACAAGATGTGCCAAGGCTGGGGGCCTGGAGCCAGCAAAACTGCTACTACACATTTTCTCTATCTTTTAGAGCCCATGAATAGCACTTGCGTGGGATGCCCAAGCTCCTGAGGACACCATTTTAGCAAAGAGGGAGGCTGTCTGCACTAGCTTTCTATGGCTGCAGCGGAGGGAGTTGCAGTCAAGGAAGATGAAGAAAGGAAAAGCAGCAGTGTTGAGGAGCAATTTATGCTGGGATCCAAGGGAGGACAAAGCCCTGACCTTTGGAGAGAAGCATGAATGAACGTGAGGGTCAGAGGATCATGCTCTTAATCCATGTTGATGCACCTTCCTGATTGATCATTCTAAGAAGACATCAAAACTTCCCTCTACAGGTGAGCAAGGCAAAAGAAACCACCAACCACTTCTCTCTGCAATGCAAATAACTACAACACCTGGATGAAAAACACTATTGACATAGTAACTGCACAATACCAGTTCCTTATCAAGCTTAGGAAATGGATTGTTCTACAAAGGAGCTAAGTGTCCTCCTATTCTCCTTCTCCTACAGTAGAACATAATAAGGACCAGGTTCTGAAGGATGTTTACCCATTTTCAATACAAGTTACTGGTGAATGAGGAGGATGGACAGACTGGTAGTACAACTCCCTAAGCCATTTTTTCCTAGGAACACCAATGTGAAGACATTGGAGTATTCAAAGTAATCTATGTGGGTTTTCATGTTTGGAAGAGGTTTTTAAACCTGGTCTTCACCTCAAGCAGTATCACTTCCCTTGTGCTTTAACTCTTGGGGGAGAAGAGATTAAAACAAATTTTCTTCTCTGCTGCATGATAACACAGTTGTTATTTCAGGGGCAATTGACGTCACTCTAAATGTCTCCACGACTACATCTGAAAGAGATTTCCTTCCACAAGTGAATTTTTAGGATACATCTCGTAGTTTCTCAGTACACTGTTGTGTTAAATAACCCAAAAGAAAACTTCTTAGCGTGCCTATGATTAAAATAAGCAGTTTATCTCACTCTAAGTCACAAATACGCATTCTTCCAGTCCCCACAGTACACAATGAACATAGCTCTGAGTCCACAGATTGCCTGCCAGCAGCCATGACAGAATCAAAGTCACTTTTGGTAATTAAAGATAATTCACTTTAACTAGATATGGTTAAAAGGGCTCCCTAGCCAAATGAGGAATAAGATAGGTACTGGATTTACGGTACATGCAAGTAGGAAACATAAAGTTCTCACTGTTATTTCAAACACAATATTCATTAGTAAATGCAATAAAGTTTTGCATGTAATCCACTTAGTGATGTCTTATAGTTCAGTAAATTATATACTTATTGTTTGTTTCACTCTAGTAGCCTGAAAACCATTTTGTTTGGTTAAATACTGCCACTTACTCTGAAAGCTTTTCTTTTTTTAAATAGCTGAAAGCAAACAAAAGAGATCCTTTCATCACTGAAATTAATAATAAAAGTGAGATGGCCCAGCAAGCTGAAGTACAAGGAGTATTTTGCTAAGGAAATTACAGACTTAGGAGCTTTCACCATGACTTCACATCTGAATATGGAAACAGATTCATTCTTACATGAAATTTCTCCTGTTAAAAACCTCAGTATATTCTAGAGAACCAAAAGCTGCAGTAAGTATTCGTGCATACCCTGAGCACGTATTCTCTATACATAACCAGTGCTGTCCTTCGTATCTGCTCACTTTCCACATGCTGGCTCAACTCTCCAATGCCGTCATGACCCTCATTTCCCAGCAATCATTCTCATGAGGCACAAAAGAGACCCGAGGTGCCCTCTGGGTCTGCCCTTGCATGAAAGAAGCAGTGCAGAAGTTCAGTGACATGAGTGGTCCCACAGCTCAGTACCAGCACTTGCGTTTGCCTTCAGAGAGCCACATCTCCAGTTTAAGAGAAGCCAAATAGCTAATGCTCAACAGAGATGAGTTCTACAGTAAACAGATCTGTTACGAACAGCCAAGACAAACGCTTTCCAAGGAGAGCCATTCATTCTTCATCCATACTGTTATGCCTCTGAGGACAAGTCCTGTCTCAGCACTGGTGCTGGCCACTCAATTCCACCTTTTGCTACAAAATTCCCAATCCCACATAAGTTAGTGGGGGGTCTGCATTTGGCTAATTCCCACCTACTCCTGGCAAACCAGACACTCCAGAGTAATGGTGGGGTGTTTAACATAGAGCTTCCCCCAACACTCAGAATTTTCATGAATCATGCTGGAATATATGGTGCACCTCTATCTCTTCACACAGACACACTGAACTGTTTCTTCACTAACAACAGTTTTGCTTCCTTGAAGATACTGTTTGAAGGTATTATTCTTGGCTAGAATACAGACAAATAGAAAGCCCAGTGCAAAGGTTAATGTGGAAATCCTCCTGAGAGTCAGATATAAAACACTGTGCATTTCCTCTAGCAGACTGTTTAAAACATGCCATTCTCTTCTGCTTAGGGACACTTTAGCTGTGACCAGCGAACCATACTAGGCAGAACAAGCATTCTCTATGGAATAAAAAATGAAAGGTTTGCTCCTAGAGCAGTATCTCTTGAGAACTAACATCCTTATCATATGACAACCTCTAGCCTCCTGTAGTCTCAGCTGACGTAAGGCAAGAGTAGCAAATATTCAAGCCTACACAGAACTCAAATGTATCCCAAGCACCACCATGTCCACAGTAGAGATCACAGTACCTAAAATAGCCACCACCTCGTCGTCCTGGATGACTTCTAGGGATCCTGAGACCACGAAGCAAAGAGCATCAACACTCTCCCCAGCATGATAGATGAGGTCCCCCGGGGCGCAATGGATCGTCTGAAACTCCACGGCCAAGGCTCGCAGGCAGCCATCGCTGGCCAGCCGGAAGGCAGGATGCTCATTAAAAACTTTCCGGTTTAGGTGCACACAAATGTCTGCTCTCATGTCCTTTGGGCAAATCGAGAGAACCTGAATGAAAGAAAGACAAAAAAACAATCAGCTAGGAACATGGCAGGGCGGCAGCGTGTGCTCTATGAAATAAATGAATTGGTAGTTTCGTCTGGGCGGATCTTAAGCTTCTGGTGGGAGTTTTATCTTGAAATGAGGTAGTATTAATTTTCTACCCATCTACTGCTTCATAAAACACAGGTAAAAGTGTGGTGCTATTCTGTTACCCTTTCACACTTGTTTTCCATAATTGCAGGTGGCACTGCTTTGTCTCTGTCCCTCCATACTTGGTGCCTAGACCATCCACCCACTGCTATGCTCAGTCCCTGCAGGAGCACAGGATGGACACTCAGAGCTGAAGAAGCTTGAAGATATGCAAAGGCAGACCACTCACAATCCAAACCAACAGATTTAGTCGCATCTGGAAACCTAATCTTCAAAAGTGTTGATGCAGGCGACCACTTACCAACACGTATCCAAACACACCTAGGGTTTTGTTTCAGCACTGTACAGACATACAGTAAGTAACCTGCCCAGGAGGGCTTACAGACTAGAAAACCCAAAGAGTTTGAGCTTAGAGCAAAAAGAAAGTACTAGGAAACCTTATGAAATGTAAAGTAAAGGCGAATGAAAACTGCCCAGCAAAGGTGAAGATGTATTTACTGCAGATCAATTAAATAAGGCCTTTAAGTCCTTACCTTCAATAGCTTTCCCTATTGAAACAGTAAAATAAATACACCTGAAGAAAAAAATGAAAACCTGTGGGTGTTATTAGGCATGTAAAATGTTTAGTATTTGCACATCCTCCTAAACACACCAGCATCCTTACAGTTCTGAAATGCATGTCTCTCTGTGTGGAAGCTAATTGCCCTGAGAAACATACAAAACCTTGTAATGTTTTGCTAGGTTAAATAATGGAAAAAGGAAGAAGATGAAGAGCACTCAGAGTCATGTAAAGAAGAATGCAGATCAACAGCACTTCCTAATTCCTCATTCTACGGAATTTATCTGGCAGCTTGCTCTGCAGACAGTTGGTGAGAGAGGGGCATTGGGTCAGTGTGCTGACTAACATTGAAAATTAGCAAACAGAGGGAGACTCTGGAAACCCTGAATAGACTTAGAGGCATATTAATTCAGAAGTCATGACTTTCATTTTTGTTTAACGCTAAAGAGGTATAAAACAAGTTATTGTAAAGTATTACTAGAAGATCCAAAAGCATAGAATGGGAAAACAATGATGATGATTTTCTAGTTTAATCTAGACCCCTTCTTGTCTTGATAGATCGAAGTGTTTTGCTGTCAAATACATAATGAATGCAAAAGGGTGAAAGAGGAGGAGTTCATCCTCTTATTCTCTGTACTATGACAGCAAGTTTGCACATGGATGTATGCTTTCCCAGTCTACAAGGGGTTATGCAACCATATGTGCTAACTTCTTCCCATTATGGGTCAGCTCATTCACACTTTTCATATCGGTCCCAAAATACCTGGTAAAATTATAGTCTAGAAGGCCTTGATTTAATGCTTTTAAATTATATAGGTTAGTTGTACCAATGGACAACTCTCTTATAAAACATGCTGTTACTAAATGTGTTTTGTTTGGATTTCATCTAATAGCCAGTGGTTCGCATCACCTTGCTCTGATAAAAAACTTGCAATCATCAGAAATCTCTTCCACATCTTGGTGTTTATAAAATACAATCATGTCAACTCTCAGTCTCAAATAAACAACAGAGATGATGCTTCTTGTGTCTAACACTGTGATGCACAGTATCTCCTTGGAAACTTCCTTGTCTCACTTACAACAACCCTCCCAGATATCACAGGTAATTAGTTTGTATTTGATTTGATAGAGACTAGGTTAATTTTGCTTAATGCTATTTTTCTGTAACAAAGTGTTGTACAGAACAGGTTCAAAAACCATAAGCCTGTTTTATTGTAAAAAATTAATAATAAACACATCTGACAAGACATATTCTCCATAAACCATCGTTTGCATCAGTAATAATATCTTCTCTGAGTCACTGGTGAACATATTCTGTATCACTTTTTCCATAATTTTATGAGGAGCAAATGTCAGCTTTACAAATTTACACTCACCTGAGTTATCTCATTTACGAATAGAAATATGATGACACCTTCATTTTTCTAGTTTTAAAAATACATTTGGATACTTCTGAATCAAACAGAAAGCTCGTTTTTATTTTCAAATAGAAACATGCCACCTTTCTTCTTCACAAGAATAACTGCATGAAAAAATTCTGCTTCCTTTGGCATCATGATTGATGATTTTTAACATTTTTATCTCCTGTTGGGTCTAAATCATTGTTAGGAACTTTTCATGTCTCTAATGCTTCCACTAATGTAACTGCTTTTGACTTAACAAGGCCATGAGCTGTGAATTGTCCAACACTGTTCTTAACAAAAATGTGCGTATACACATGATTTTGATTTCCAAATTCTATCTTCTAAGCTTCCCAAACTGCAGGAACAATAGTTGAACAATGCCTTAAATGCATCTGAAATTGATTAAACCTTTGCAGAAGATATTACTGTAAGACTTATGTATATTCTAAGACCCTTCGTCTTTTGAAGGGTAGATGAACTGAGCTGGTCAAAATGAAAGTAACTTGGATGCAAAGAAGCATATTGTTTCCTCACAAATGCAGAGTTAAATACAGGTTATTAAATGTGAGAGCTCAAAGCATTACTCTTTTTGTAGTCAAAACAAACATATCTATCATCACACTTTGTCAAATAAAGAGCCAGAAAAAATACCACTGCACACAAAAAGCCAGTCTTAGCATAATGCAGGGATTTGCTGATGTCGTGATAACATGATTCTCCTAATGACATATGACTGAATGGAGATACATGGAGATATCATTTATCAACAAGTACAACGGTAAATGAGTAACGATCCAAGAGTTAGCCAGGGATGAATATTCTTAAACGAGACTTCAGTTTTATTGCCTGCTACTCTGCTAGTACTGAGATCTAGCATCTGAGAGAATGAAACAGATGACAAAATTAAAAGAAATGCTTAATGCTGAAATATTTGGTAAAGAGGCTTTGAGCAATCAAGACAACTGCAGACACATATATGGGAGGAAGTAAAAGCGCAGAGACAGATGATCTCAATATCAAGGTATGTGTTTAGTGTATGCTGCAAGGACAAGTCTTCATGAGCTCCAAGCTGACTTTGCAGCAACACTGTGTTTACAAATACCAACATCAGGAATTCAGGAGGAGTCTCAAAGAAACCATCAGTTTCTCTGATATCACTTTTAGCCATACTGTAAAAAGGGTTTGTTGGTGACACAGAGTAGGAATAATTTTCCTGTTTCCACAGTAAGAGCAGAAAATGATAAAATGAGCACCTCAACTTGAGAACTTCTGAAAAAGATGCTTTATTGGTAACACAAGAATCAGACATTTCTCTTGTAAAAGGCTCTTAAACGAGACATCAGCATTTTCAAGTTAGCATGCAGCTAAAAAGATAGAAAGGAAGAGCAACGCAGTCGTAGGTGGGTCCTATGGTTGTACTTACAGTGCACAAACGCACTTACATGACTGTAAAAAGAAATTCAGTTTAAGGAAGAAGATAACCTGTAAAGCTCAATCTATCATTTCTCTTTTAGCGAAATGCCTTCAGCACTTTTGTTAGCAGAACGAAAGTTCAGCCAGGACATTTGTTTGAATCCTCGTTTCTGCAGTGTATCTAGAAACCACCAAGACAAGCTTTTGAAGAGGAAATTTCCTTAGAGGATTCAAGACCTTTCTCGGTGAAATCTGCAGTTTATAAGTAAGTCAGGATATTAAGGCTGCTGACTGTAATGCTTTACCAGCTGATGGCTTTGGAGCACACAACTTAGAGCAGCTGCCCCCAGGGACCTGATACTTGTGTGCTGCTGCAGAAGCTGCTCCATAACAAATCTGTAGCCACAGACTTCACAGTCATCCAAACATCATTAAAAAAACCAGAATCTGATAGTTTCAATGCTAAATTGGAAGAGAAAACTGAAACCACCCTAGAGGAAAATCTGATTGTGTAAGTGGCATTTCTAACTAGAAGAAGCCAGGATCCATGCTGCATGTGAACAGTACACGTGTATCCACAAAGATCTGAACCACTATAAAGCTGAGAGAAGACAAAGTAAAGCGTAGAATAACATTTATCACCTACCTTCTTTTTGTAGGAAATTAAAACTCCTCAAAGTCAGTATAAATTGCTGAGCTCTGTCCTAAGCACTCACTGCTCCTTGGCACTCAGCTGACACAAAGCAAAGTGTACTCAGTGCGGAGACTCAGCACTGCCACAGTAACTAGAACATCCCATGGCATATCCAAAATGCTGGTGGTAAGTGAAATGCTCCTGGTTGCTGCTAGAGATTGGGAAAAGCTCTGGAAGACTCACAGGGAATTGGCATAAAATACTTCGCTATCTTTTCCACTTAAAATCTGGAAAGGGGGAAATAAAATTCCTAAGGAGGTTCAATTTGATTTTTTTCCTCTCCCATCCATCTTCTTGACATACTCAGGCAGTTTAAGATAAGCCCCTTGCACAGTTCAAAGGGCTCTACAGGGAACAGAGATCATAAAGAACTCAAAGAAAAGCAAATGAATCAAAACAAAAACTGTACAGATTAAGAATGTGTCCAAATAATAGCTCTTAGGAAGGGTTTAAGTACTTAAAAAAATCTTTGCCAGCTAGAAAACACTATGGGATGGCTTAGCAAATATTACAGAATCTGTTAAGACTTGTTAACAAAGAGGACAGAAGCCAGTGAATCACAAATGGTATCACTTTGTAATTCTCTTTCAGCACACGAAATTCTCACTTTCTTAGGGTTGTACTAGTGGATATATTGATTAACGTTCAAATGAAGAGCTTAGACAGTCTTAGCAGAGGAATAACAAGCACTGTTTTTTAAATGAATAACTGCAGCAAGTACTGGAGATATTCAGTAATGTCAACTTCAGTAATAAACAAACTCCTATGGCCTCTATCCTGCCATCGT